CGGCCGCGGCGGTGGGGCCCGGCGCCAGCTCAGGCACGGCGTCGGCCCGCTCCGACCCGCTGCTCACGCGGTCCTCGTCGTCGTCCTCGTCCTCCTGTGCCTGCTGCTGATGTTCCGCCGCCGGCTTGGCGTCGTCTTCTCGCCGAGCTAGATCGCCCTCCTGCGAACACACACGGCCCTGGTTAGCTCAAAGTCGGAGTTAGAGCTTGTTCTGGCTGGGGCGGTGCACCGCTACAGCCGAAAAAATTCCCCGAGCAAAGACACGGGAAGGGAATCATCAGGTACTTTCTAAATAAATCATTCACTACACTAATTGCACTTTTCAACGGGCCATGTACGGGTCTCAAGGGACGGATCATTCACCACGAGTCTAGTGGAACGGGTCATACCAAATGAATCTCAAAGAACGGGTCATTTTTCGAGTCACCTGGAACGGGTCATTCACATTATGTCTCTAGGAACGGGTCCCTCACAACGACTCTCCAAAATGGAGTCTTAGAGAACGTATGTCGAGGAAGGAGTCTTTGACCGGTATTACACTGCAAAATTCCTTTTTTCAAAGATATTTTATAAAAGAAGATATGACAGCGTAAAAGCTCGTCCTCTCGTCCTCCTGTGCCTGCTGTTGCTGTTGTTGTTCCGCCGTCGGCTTGGTGTCGTCTTCTCGCCGAGCTAGATCGCTCTCCTGCGAATACACACGACCCTGTTAGCTCAAAGGCGGAATTAGAGCTTGTTTTGGCTCCGCTGCGGGCGACAAAATTCTCCAAGCAAACAGAAGGGAAGGGACTTTCTAAATAAAACATTCACTACACTAAATGCACTCCTCAACGGGTCATCTACGGGCCTCAAGGGATGGATAATTCAGAACGAGTCTAGTGGAACGGGTCATTCAAAATAAGTCTCAAAGAACAGGTCATTTTCGATTCTCCTGGAACGGGTCATTCACATTAAGTCGCTAGGAACGGGTCTCCCACAACGATTCTCCAAAATGGAATTAAATTATTAGAGAACGTATTTCGAGGAAGGAGTCTTTGACCGGTATTACACTGCAAAATTCCTATTTTCAAAGATATTTTATAGAAGAAGATATGACAGCGTAAAAGCTCGTCCTCGTCGTCCTCCTCGTCCTCCTGTGCCTGCTGCTGCTGTTGTTGTTCCGCCGCCGGCTTGGCCTCGTCTTCTCCCCGAGCTAGATCGCCCTCCTGCGAACACACACGGTCCTGTTAGCTCAAAGACGGAGGTTAGAGCTTGTTCTGGCTGGGGCCGTGCTCCGCTGCGGGCGACAAAATTCCCCAAGCAAACAGAAGGGAAGGGTCTCTCTAAATAAAACATTCACTACACTAATTGCACTCCTCTACGGGTCTCAAGGGATGGATAAATCAGAACGAGTCTAGTGGAACGGGTCATTCAAAATGAGTCCCAAAGAACGGGTAATTTTTCGAGTTTCCTGGAACGGGTCATTCACATTAAGTCGCTAGGAACGTGTCAGTCGCAACTACTCTCCAGCGACGTGTCTTGGACAACGTATTTCGAGGAAGTAGTCTTTGGCCGGTGTTAAACTATAAAATTACTTTTTCTGAAAGATATTTTATAAAAGAAGATCCATTGCCGGCTTGGCTAAGCAAAGCCAGCAAGCAAAGACGTGGGAAGGGAATCATCAGGTACTTTCTAAATAAAACATTCACTGTACGAATTGCACTCTTCAACGGGTCATCTACGGGTCTCAAAGGACGAATTATTCACAACGAGTCCAGTAGAATGAATAATTGAAAATGAGTCTCGAAGAACGGGTCATTTTTCCAGTCTCTTGGAACGGGTCATTCCCATGATGTCTCTAGGAACGGGTCAGTCGCAACTACTCTCCAGCGACGTGTCTTGGACAACGTATTTCGTAGGAAGTAGTCTTTGGCCGGTATTACACTGTGTAAAAGCTAATATTTTATAAAAGATTTCTTTTACAAATATTTTTTGGTAAAATGTAGCCTTAAACGTCCACGTTTTATTAAACATTTGGTAATATAACTTCCAATAGATATACACGAGATATTGCATTGAATTGATACCTTATTTTGAGGTATTGCTTCAACCAAAGTTTTAATTGCAGCATATGATTATTTAATACTGTTCATAATGATTATTTAATACAAAAATAAAACCAAAAGAATTGACGCGTTTGGAAAATGTCAAATTCACGAAGTTATTTTTTTAACAAGAAAAGCAGAAGACCCAATTTCGAAAGAATGAAGAAGAACGACAAAGAAAATTGAATGCTTCTTCAAATATTTTTTTCATTTCGAATTTCTTTAATTAATGCTTCACAATGTGCAACTCATGGCCAAACTCTCAAACGTCTCCTCTTTACCTTTCACTTCTTGAACATTAAACATACCGTAGATTAATTTTTTCACTTTCAACAACAAGTTCTATTCTCAAACAGAAGGATTAGCTATGGGCTCCAACGGTT